TCTCCTGGAATTCAGATTTCTGGGTTCATGAAATTGGGTTGACCCACACAGACCATCTGCCCTTAGAAGTCCTTTTGATGACCCACCAGGTGCATTTACTCATCTGATGGAACTGGCTCCCTGGAATCACCTTCAGGTCAAACTAATAGCTTAGCAACAATTTAGGAGGGAAGAGCGTTTTGCTTTAGGCATTTATCTCTTTTGGAAAATTATCTACGTGCAGCCAGCCTTGAGAAGCATGAACTCTAGGATGTGACTAGAGGTTGTTTTAGGATGTATGGCATGTCCTTGGTGACTGTTTCTATAATCTGCCCTGTGCTTTGAAGTTATCTTCTGAGAAATTAACATAACAATGACCTATATAACTGGCTTTCACTGTCCTGTGTTCGGAGCGCCTTCCCAACATGTTCAGGTGACCCTTCCTAATTTGAATCATATCTACTCACAATAAATATATTGTTACATTAATTTTTGGTGTTTTTCTAAGCAGTTTAGGTCTTGGACAGTACCAAAAAACCAAAAACTTGCCGCTGCCAGGTCAATTCTGATCCATAGCAACCCTACAGGACAGAGTAGAACTGCACCATAGAGTCTCCAAGGGGCAACTGTAGAGGATTCAAACTGCCAACATTTTGGTTAGCAGCCGAGCTCTTAACCACTTTGCCACCAAGGCTCGTTTGACAGTATGTATCTCTAAATATAGGAATTCTTTGAAAAAATAAATACAGTACCTTTAACATTATCTGTGATTCCATAATATTATCAAATATTCAGGGTTCACGTTTTCTTTATATGTGTATATAGCCAAGTGTGGTAAACATTTCTGCCATCCAGGGACTGATTCACTCTCTAAATATACATGAGATACATGTGTATATTTAGAGAGAGAGTCTTTACTTATGGAAATAAGGAGCAGAGGATCATATTAAACTATACCATGGCAAGTACATTAAACATTTGTGCCATCCAGGGACATTTAGAGAAGGATCAGTCCCTCGATGGTGCAAATGTCTCGTGCATTTAGCCATGGTGTAGTTCAATATGTTCCTCTGTTCTTTTTTTCCATAAATAGATAGCTAGATCTTTAGATCTAGGTTTGATCAGATTTGGTTTTGATTTTTTTGTTGTTGTTGTTGAGGCTTTTTAAAAGGTAGTATTGTGTACTTCAATAAGAAGTACATAATGTCTGCTTGACTCTGTGATTTAAGCAGTCATTGTAAGTTAGTTAACCTGGAATTCTGAGTATAGAAGGAGAGGTTGTTCAGATGATGAAATAGAGACATTTCTGAGCACCGATCTTGGTGAGTTATGTGGATGTGTGGACATCGTTTTGGAAATGCAATGTCCTACAAACTCCTGAATGCATGTTCACAGAACGTAATGTTTTTCTGGTACAAGTCAGAGACCTTGATTAGTTGTATGTTTGTTATTTATCAAAGGTCTATTTAGCTAAGCAGTGAATCCTTGTAACTCTATTCATCACTTCAAGTTGGGAAAAGCCTGTCTTAGATGTACACATTTTTCATGTCTTAAACCAGAGCTTTTAAACTAGCAACCTGCACAAAGTAGTTTGTTTGGCCTACACAGGGTTTTAAAAATAGGAAAAAAAAGTACTTACCAATATTTAAAGATCAGGTTTCTTATATAAATTTCTGGGTTTTCTTGAGAATGGGAAGTTTCTCATTCCCTCATGGCAACAGCTGGCTGTTGCTGAAGACTAGCTTCTTCCTTTAGACTGGCCATGAACATTCTAGTCAGCCGCCATCACCACCAGGCCCACTTACTCATCTGAGTCTGTAAATTCTGTCTTAACGCAAAGGAGGGCAACAAGAAGAGCTACTGTTTGCTGACTACTATTCTGTAAGAGAGACTTTGTAGACATTCATTCAACAATTAGTTATTGGTAGCCTACTATGTGCAAGGCATTGCTTTAGGTACTTGGGTTATATCAGTGAACAAAACAAAGTTCCCATGTGGACCTTGCATTCCAGTGGTGGTTGGGGGACAGAATCAAATAATAAATATAATAAGTAAAACACTTAGCACATTACATAGCACATTCAACCCATTGCCATCGAGTTGATTCTGACTCATAGTGATCCTATGGGACAGAGTAGAACTGCCCGATAGGGTTTCCAAGGCTGTAAATCTTTAGGGAAGCAGACTGCCACATCTTTCTCCCGTGGAGAGGCTGGTGGGTTTGAACTGCAGAAATTTTGTTTAGTAGCCGAGTGCTTTAACCACTGAACCACAAGGGCTCCTTCTTAGGAGGTAGTAAGTTCTTAAAAAAACAAAGAAAATACAGCAGGGCAGGGGAATTGCAAATCCTGGGGAGTAGGCAGGTTGTGATTTTAAATGAGGTGTGCTTGGTGGGCCTCACTGAGAAGATATTTGAGCAGACTCAATGGAGGGGAGGGAGTTAGCCATGTGGCTGGAGCAGGGTGAAAAAGGGGAGAATGGCAGGAGGTTTCAGGGAGAAAATCAAGAATTTTAGACATGTTGTCCTTGAGATATCTATTAGATAGGTATCCAAAGGAAATGTTGAGTAAGCCGTTAGTTATCAGTCTGGAGTTCAGGGGTTATGTCTGGCTAGCAATAAACATTTCCTCCTCTGATCCAGTCTCATTTCTTTAAATACTATATAATGCCGATAACTCTCAACTATTTATGTGTATGTGGATTTAAGGCTGATTTGGTGGTGTGGCTGTGTTGTTCAAGGAGGAGTGGGTTTCTGAGGCTGCCTCATTATCTCTGATAATGGAATAAGTATGTTCTCGTCCTAGTGCTTGGGTCTCCCCCGACTTCAGAAATCAGCGCTGTGAATCCCCTACCCAGTAAACTGAGGCCCAATAAGGTTGCCGGCTTTACTAAGTCTTAGAACTGGTGAATGTAGAGACAAATTTGAATAAAGGTCTAAACTCCATACCTGGTGCTTTTTCCTCCATACAATGCCAGTCTTTGGTAAGGCTGTCTTTCTTTTTTTTTTTCCCCCATACAAAAATTTACACATACATTGTTATGTGACCCTAATTGCTCTCCCCATACTGTGACAGCACACTCCCCCTTTCCAACCCTGATTCCCCATGTCCATCCAACCTTCTCCTAACCCTCTCTGCCTTTCCATCTCACCTCCCAACAGAAGCTGCCCATTTAGTCTCCTGTATCTACTTGAGCTAAGAGGCACACTCCTCAGGAGTATCACTTTATGTCCCACAGTCCAGTCCAACCCCTGTCTGAAGAGTTGGCCCAGAAATTGTTTTAGTTCTGGGATGATAGCGAGTCCGGGGGCTCTGCCTTCCGGTTCCTCCAGTCTAAGTCAGACCATTAAGTCTGGTCTTCTTACAGAATTTGAGTTCTGCACCCCACCTTTCTCCTGCTCCAGCCGGGACTCTCTGTTGTGTTCCCTGTCAGGGCAGTCATTGGTGGTAGCCAGGCACCATCTAGTTCTTCTGGTTTCAGGCTGATGAAGTCTCTGGTTTATGTGGCCCTTTCTGTCTCTTGGGCTAATACTTTCCTTGTGTCTTTGGTGTTCTTCATTCTCCTTTACTCCAGGTGGTTGGGACCAATTGATGCATCTTAGATGGCCGCTTGGAAGCTTTTAAGACCCGAGATGCCACTCACCAAAGTAGGATGCAGAACATTTTCTTAATGAGCTTTGTTATGCCAGTTGACCTAGATGACCCCTGAAAGCATGGTCTCCAGACTCCTACCCCTGCTACTCTGTCCCGCAAAGTGTTTGATTGTATTCAGGAAACTTCTTAGCTTTGGTCCAGTCCAGTTGTGCTGACTTCCCCTGTAGTGTGTGCTGTCCTTCCCTTCACCTAAGACAATTCTTATCTACTATCTAGTTAGTAAATATCCCTCACCCTTCCTCCCCACCCTAGTAACCATCAAAGAATGTTTTCTTCTGTGTTTAAACCTTTTCTTGAGTTCTTATAATAATGGTCTTATACCATATTTATCCTTCTGTGACTAAATTCACTCAGCATAATGACCTCCAGATTCCTCCATGTTATGTTTCACTGTTTCATCATTGTTCTTTATTGTTGTGTAGTGTTCCATTGTGTGGATATACCATAATTTGTTTATCCGTTCATCCATTGATGGGCACCTAGGTTGTTTCCATCTTTTTGCTATTGTGAACAGTGCTGCAATGAATATGGGTGTGCATGTATCTATTTGTGTGACGGCTCTTATTTCTCTAGGACATATTCCAAAGAGCGGGGTAGCTCAATTGTATGGCACTTCTATTTCTAGCTTTTTAAGGAGGCGCCAAATCGATTTCCAAAGTGGTTGTACCATTTTACATTCCCACCAACAGTGTATAAGTGTTCCAGTCTCTCCACCACCTCTCCAGCATTTATTATTGTGTGCTTTTTGGATTAATGCTAAAGGCTGTCTTTCAAAGGCTCATTCTCCCTGCCTTCTTATCCTCTTTTTGGGCATTTTATTTCTCCCCTAACTTCCTGGGCCCACTAATTTCAATAGCAGAAATCTTACTGCTGAGAAACTGATAGGGAAAATGCTAGACTAAGACTTCCAAGTTCCTTCTGCTAGGTGTATTTGGCCCTATGTAAAGTAATTTTTATTTGCTCCATCTTAGTCCAGGTTAATGTCCCCAGGATTTCTACCATCCTTGCAATCCCAAACTTTTCCTTTCTCTATTGAGTTCAACACATATTCTTCTCTGAATGTAGTCTAGTGGGTGAAAAGAGGTATGGTCTCAATTAGTTGTAGCCAGCATGACTGCCCAAGAGATGCAAGTCTGGGAAGTTCTGGGACGGAAACTCAACGGTCAAGCTTTGTCCGGAGTCCTCGATCTCCTCCTCTCCCTTCCAGGAGCTTTGGGGGCGTCCGGTCAGGCCTTCTTCTTCTGGGGGCGGGACCTACCGCTCCTGCTCCCGCCTCCCTGGTTGCGCGCGGCTGCGGCCGCGATCACGTGAGTGCGGAGCGGCGGGGGAGGGGCCTTGGTTTCCGGGCGGCGGAAGGAGACGCGGCCGCGTGAAGACCAGACGATTTGAAAACACGCTCCGGGAGCGAGAGTCTGAGGCCGGTGGCGCACGCTGTCAGCCCGTGGGGCTCGCTTCGGACGTTCTCCGTCTCGGCTTCCACGCCCCGGTTCCGGCCGGGCTCTCAGGTGAGCGATCTCCGCCTCTTTGGGCCGGGCCCTCCCAGGACGCGGGACGGCGCGCGGGGCCGTGGCCCCCTGGTCCGCGGCCCAGGCGGCTTGGGCCGGCTCTGGCCGGTCTGCGCCCCCTATCCCGCGGTCCCGGACGCGGCCCGCGTTTCCAGTTAGGCCTGGTTACGGAGCGGGGCAGTGCGGGGCGGGGCGCCCCGAGGGCGTTTGAAGCTCCTTAAGTGACTGGGCGGGTTCGCGCGGTTTTGAGTCTGAGACACTTTTAGGCCTGTGTGTGTTGATTGGGCTCCAATCTCCGCCTATGATCCTGACCACTTCCACTGGGACAGAAGGAATGATAGGCGCTTAAAACCTACGGGGTCTTCACTTTTGGGATGTTGGACGGAAAACGGGGGGTGGGAGTGATAAATCGTCTCATTCTTTCGCTGTCCAGTAATGGAGGCTTAAGTGACTTGTACCGAGCAGAACGGGACCATCACTTGTCTCTCGTCTCCCAGCCTGCGGCATTTGCTGTCTCGGAAGTCTGGTGCCTCGAATTTGATCCCTTTAGTAGAGTTTGGAGGAACTCGTGAGTGTAGGGAGTTGGAGAGGAAATTCACAAAGTCCGAGTGCAGTGTGCTCACTCCTTGACTTTCTAGGGTAAAGAAGTTTTGGGAATTATGGAGGGTAAGAGGCGGCAAGCTAGTTGGGATTCGGTTGAAATCTTACTACGCTAGGATCTGCCTTTTGTCAAAATTAGCAGGAATATATGCAATTCAGTTTTAAAGCTATTGGGACTCACTCACAGATAGATATAAAAAGACCAGTGAGGTGAGAGCTCCTAAAGCTGGAGTTCTTAGCTTGTACTCAATACCGGCTACTGTAAAAGTGGCTTAGTTGGATTATTTGATCTGCTGTGCTATGAAAACCTTTATCTTAGATGAAAGTAACTGAATTTGCTGGTAGAAATTTAAGCGTTCCTAGAATAAAAACTTCGGCTTTAAAAGTCAAAGGACAGTCAGCCCTCTTAATTTTTCTAACGAAGGGACAGCATTAGTGTGGCCAAGCAAAATGACTGTTTATCTTGGAGGCGTATCTGGTAGTGGCCAGAAAGAGCCCCAGAGGATTGGGGGCGAACAGGGTGGGTTTAATTGTTTACCATTTATGTCCTTTACTATTTGTTCTTGTCTCTGGTATCAACTAGTAATGAAATTGTAGGAAAAGCTCACGGAGTGTGCTTGCTTAATTAATTAAAACCATTTTTGTATTAAAGGAGGCCAGGTGAGTATCACTAAAGGCCTCACTTTTAACCCATTTTTTTTAGACTAGGATAACTGGAAGTAGGGTAGGATGAAAACTTGGAGTTGGGATAAGTGAAATAAGGCAAGCCATTTTGCCATTTTGTCTCCCAGTCCTCAGGTGAATTCAGATATGAACTCATTTACAGGCAGTCCCCAGATTAGAAGGAGTTCTGTCCCTAAGTTTGTCTTTAAGTCGTACTTAAATCCAAACCATTAGGTCGGTCCATATCTAATGTCAGTTGGTCATATGTTGTCTTAGTATATAGTGTAGTTCCCTTTGTATTAAAAACATTAAACATTTCTAGATACACTAAAATACCTTTAACGTAATAATACAGTAATAATAATAGTTTGATGCCCGTAGTAAAGTAGCACCTGTTTGTTATTATGAAACATTGTATGTACTTCGAATTTTTAATATAATAGGCTTTTCCAGAGTTGGTTCGTAACTACCGGTTGTAAGTCTGATGCTCATAACCCAGGGACTGCTTGTATTCCTCATTCAACCTACCTCATAACAACTGTATGAGATAGTTATTGTTAATCTTTATTTTGTAGATTAAAAACTGAGGCACAGTGGTTAAACTTACCAGTCAGACAGCTAGGCAGTGGCAGATTCTGGGTAAGAACTTAGTTTAGCTCTACAGTCCGCTCTTCACCTATGTAACCAAATACTAGCTTATAGAGATCTAATATAGTAAAATGCTGCAATTATGTGAATTTGAACATAGTTTCATAGGCTCCTGGATTCCTGAGCTCCAGGATGGTTAGTCATGTACCAGCCATTTCATTAATTTCACAACAATGCAAGTCTGTTTTACTCAAAATTTTTGGACCTGCATGGATATTGTGACCTTTTTTTATAGCTAGGCATAGGATAATTATGATAGATGAGGAGAAGTTTTATTTTTTCCAAAGGTACTTACCTATTCCAATGGGTGTGCAGTGGAAGGCAGCATTTATTATATTTGTAGTGGGTGGAAAAGGCTTTAAGAAGTGCTGACCTGGTCCCAGGCAGAGGAGGCTATTTTTCAGAGAGAGATTAGCTTGTGGAAAGATAAAGCTGGAGAGGAAGAATGGGGCTACCTTGGGAACAGCCTAACATGTCATGCTAAGGAGTTTTTTTATTGTGTATACGGAGTAGGGAGCAACTGAGAGCTCCTGGAACCTTGGTCAGGTCTGTTTAGAAAGAACACTTTGGTGACTGTGTAGCACATGAACTAGAGTAGACACTAGAGATAAGACAGAAATGCCAGTGGGGAGGCTTTTGAATAGTCTAGGGTAGAAAGAAAGGACTTCCTTAAAATCCTGGTGTTGGGAATGGGTAGGAGGGCACAGATCAAAGATTTTCTGTGTAGGTGGGGAGAATTGAAAGGATGTGGTGAAGAGGAGGAGGTACAAAGTGACACGGTCATTTATTTTAATGGTCTTGTTATAATAGTCACCTAGCTGGTCTTTGTTACTTATCCCTCTCTTACTCTATATTTCATTTTATGCTGCTTTTTTTTGGGGGGTGGGGTGGGGATACTGTTTCCACTTTATCCCTAGTCAGACCTCTTCTTGCATTCAAGCTGCTGGTATCATCACTTTTGCCTATACCAGGTTTATCCCCTACTCTTAATCTTTAGGTGGTTTCCCATGAAATGCCTGTTACTCTTCTTGATGCATGTCTGATTCTTACCCATTTTTCAGGTATCTAGCTTAGATTCCAGACTTTTCCTAACGGTTCTAGATTGTATTAAGTAATGCTTTGGTTTTCAAACTTTGCTTTTTTGTTTTGCTGAAGGTTCCTCAGGGGCCTCTAGGGGACAGGAGCTTCCTAGCAGATAGATACTGAATGTATTTCTAGCAGATCTGTTCTGCCCTCGTACCCATCCCCCAGGTAACAAGGAAGGAAAAAAACTGCTTTTATTTGTTTATGTATTATGTTTGCATTTAGCACATTGTTTGACAAAAGGTTTCATGGCTAAAACACTTTGAAAAACCAGTGGTAAGACTGTTGACGTATTATTAATGATACCTTTTACAGTATTTCTTGACTAAGTTTTTTTGTACTTAAATTTCCTGTTTAATAGTCGCTATGAGTCGTAATTGACTTGACGGCAGCACGTTTGGGTTTGGTTTTTAGGTAATATTTACTGTTGGCCTAGTTTAAAATAAACGTTTTTAGCTGTATCAAGTCAGCTCCCGACTGATGGCAACCTCACGTACAATGGAACAGATCGCTGCCCCGTCTTGAGCGTCCCGTGATTGGTTGCAGATCAGACCATTGTGATCCATAGGGTTTTCGTGGCTGATTTCTGGAAGTAGATCGTGAGGCTTTTCTTCCTAGTCCGTCTTAGTCTGGAAACTGCTGAAACCTGTTCAGCATCATAGCAACACGCAAGCCTCCATGGACAGACAGATGGTGGCTACACATGAGGTGCATTGGCCAGGAATCGAACGTGGGTCTTCCCACATGAAAGGCGAGAATTTTTTTTATTACTCTTTAATGTTTATTCTTGTCTTTATTGTTTTTAAAGTAATTTTTTTTTTCATTTACAGCAATCAAGAATGACCAAAAAAAGAAAACGCCAAGATGATTTTCAAAAAGTAAAACTAAAAGTTGGTAAAAAGAAACCTAAGTTAGAAAATGCTACTGATACAAACTTTAAAACGAAGACTATACATCTACCTGAGCAACTCAAAGAGGACGGAACACTCCCAACAAACAATAGAAAACTCAACATAAAGGTAGATCATAAGTCTTGTTTGTTAAAATAATATTTTCTTTGACATCATCTGGGCCATTATGTCTTTGTGAAAAGTTGTCGTAACTCTTAGAATGAATAATTTGCTGAGGGCCTGAGGTTTAGAGTCCATCTGTTTTCCAAATCTCATCCTGTCACTGTGTCTTTACCACCTCTTCCAGAAATACTTGCTAGACTAAACCCACAGTATCCTTACTTGATGACTTACTGTATCATCTGGAAATATTCTTCTGTTTATCTATTTGAAGTGTATATCTCAGTTTTCCAGCTGTTTTTATAGCTTTTTAAGGGCTGGAACCCTTAATATGAATAAGATCTTGTTTTATTCATTTTTTAATCCTCATAGCACTTTGCTTATTGTAAGCTCATAGTAAAGCTTGAAGTTAATTGAACAAAAGTTCTGCTTAAAAAGATTTTAACAGCTTTATAGAGATTTATACATTATAAAATTTACCCATTTAAAGTATACAATGAATAGTTTTTAGTATATTTCCAGAGTTGTGCTATCATCATAATCTAATTTTATCACATTTTTATCCCTCCAAAAAGAAACTCTGTACCCACTAAGTCACTCCCTATTCTTCTTTCCCCCTAGCACTAGTCAGCCACTAATCTACTGTTTATGGATTTGCCTATTCTGGACATTTTATATAAATGGAACAGACAATATATGGTTGTTTGTCACTGGTCTTTCACTTAGCATAATGTTTTTGAGGTTCATCCACGTTGGATCCTGTATTACAGTAGTACCTCATACAAAGTTATGTAAAATATTCCACAAATAAAATTGTTGAGTGTTATATTCTGAATAACCAGGACGCATAGGAAGACCATTTAAAACAGGCAGAAAGAGCCTGTTAAATTAAGAATATGTAAATTCACCTACCATAATTTTGGTAGACAGTAGGTGTTCACTAAATGGTGATGATGATTGTTACTTTAAATTATAGAGTTCCTAAATATGCATGCAGCTTAATTTAAAAAATTCTGACTGAAAATTATGTTTTTGTTAAGCTGAAACTTCTAAAGATAAAATGACTTTTCTGATCTTAATAATGTTAAATAATGTTTTTAAAGTGCTTATTGAAGCGGTTTTCCCAAAGAGCTTCAGATAGTTTTAGTTAACGTGTATTTGAAAATGATCTAATGTGTGCATATACATATATATATATACACACCTGTAAACCTATGTTTTTTTATTTATAGGATTTGTTGTCACAGATGCATCACTACAATGCTGGGGTTAAACAAAGTGCTCTTCTTGGACTTAAAGACCTTTTGTCTCAGTACCCATTTATAATTGATGCACACCTTTCAAACATATTAAGTGAAGTGACTGCTGTGTTTACAGATAAAGATGCTAATGTACGTTTAGCAGCAGTTCAACTTCTTCAATTCCTGGCCCCCAAAATACGAGCTGAACAAATTTCTCCATTTTTTCCTTTGGTAAGTGCCCATCTCTCTAGTGCCATGACTCACATTACTGAAGGAATTCAGGAGGACTCTTTGAAAGTTTTGGACGTTCTGCTGGAACAGTACCCAGCTCTAATTACGGACCGTAGCAGTATATTGCTTAAGAATTTTGTAGAACTTATTTCTCATCAGCAGCTGTCCAAAGGACTGATAAATAGAGACAGATCCCAATCCTGGATACTTTCTGTAAATCCTAATCGGAGACTCACTTCTCAGCAATGGAGGCTGAAAGTTTTAGTGAGACTCAGTAAATTCCTTCAGGCCTTGGCAGATGGATCCAGTAGGTTGAGAGAAAGTGAAGGACTTCAGGAACAAAAAGAAAATCCCCATGCCACTAGCAACTCCATTTTTATCAACTGGAAGGAACATGCCAACGACCAGCAGCACATCCAGGTTTATGAAAATGGGGGTTCACAGCCAAATGTCAGTTCACAGTTCAGGCTACGGTAAGAAGGATTTCAGTTATGTCCACACTCAGTTTTCCTTTATTGAATTATAACTGCTGACCATTGATGGCTAATGGTGGGAAGACATGCAGTTGTCTTTCATACAGTTGTTCATAATTTGATTTTATTATTTACTGATGGGAAGAGTCATTTAAAAGTATATTAATGTATTCGTTTCTTGCAAAGCCTAATGAAAAGTAAAAGTTGATCATCTCTGTTGGCTTTGTCATCTTAGAATTTCATTTTCCTTATTAGTCTTGATCAATGTAATTATCAGTTAATGGTGCTTCACTTTATTGGTACTTTAAGATTTAAGAAAGGAATAATAAATAGTTTTGATCAATAATTTTTTTTTCCATTCCTTATTAGGTACCTGGTTGGAGGACTAGGTGGTGTGGATGAGGGTCTGTCATCTACTGAAAATCTGAAAGGATTTATTGAGATAATAATACCATTGCTAATTGAGTGCTGGATTGAAGCCGTGCCTCCACAACTAGCTGCTTCTGTTGGAAGTGGTGTAGAACGAGAATCTCTTCAGGTTATGCAGCAAGTCCTTAATATTATTTCCATTCTCTGGAAACTCTCTAAACAACATGATGAAACCCATAAATTGGTGAGAACTAATAAGTTAATTTCTTAGTCATGCCTTTTATCATAAATGTAGTTTAGAATTCAGCATAATCGGCTATGCATTTTCCAAAAAAAATTCCAGGGTTTAACTGTAAACTTGTTGCCTATTTTTGCCCCAGGAACTTTCTACTTTCTGGAGGCCTCTTACAGGATTTAAAAAAATTTGTCGATTAAATAGTTACATTGATTGAGGTGGAGTGATTTATTTGGATGAGGTACAGTATAATTATTGAATCTTTAAGCTAAATGGTATTTTGAAAGTTGTTAATCTAGTTTATCTTCTCATTTGTGCTACATTACGAAGTTTAGCAGAAATGGACCAAACTGAAGACCACAGTTTTAAACTACTATGTTTTAGAGAAAAAGCTACACACAAACTTACTGTGTGCTTTTTTGTTTTTCCTTGACAAAGGATATAAAATCAGAAAACATTTCTAAAAGCTATCTTTACTGTAGGTGAGGTGGTCATTGGTAGGATGTGAGTGAAGTTAACCTAAGTGAATTCCAGGTTATTTATCAGTTTTTTGCTAGAAAGCTGACAGTAAAGACATATTATTTGATGAGTAAATTTACCTTCTGTTTGGGAGAGAATTGGCAGCTTTTTTTAAGCTTTGTGCAGTCATCCATAGTTGGCTATGCTTCTGCTCTACAACTAAGAAAGAACAAGCTCCAAGATCAATTGGTCTAACTTAGTTTGGTGGCCGACTTACAGGGGCAACTGCAGGAGCAAGACTTTTTATAGAAGACTTCCTGCAAGGACTTGAGGCAGATGTGAATCCTTGGAGTTGCCTATGTACATGCAAAACTGAGAAGGCAGTGTTTTTATTTTTCCTTTTTATTTCATGCTGAAGTTTAGTATGAGTTAGTATGCTATACAAGATAAAGAGTATTTGATAACATTTTAATCTTGAAAAGCATTATGGACTCATACTTGTATATGTATTTCTTTAAGAGCTTGTTCTGTTGCTGCTTACCCTTTATCCATCTGTAGGGATGCTTTATAGATTGCTTTTTCAAATAGGATGCCATTTTGTTGATTAAGATTTTGAGGCTTTCTGTCTTATGGTTCATTGCCCACATTGGCAGAAAACTGGATAATGGTTAGGAATATAGTGTGATTTTGAGAAAGCAAAGCTTGCTGTCCGGTATGCCAGTTAATCTGTGATCTAGGCTTTTGCATTAGTTGGTGCAAATTCAGAATTTTTAAATATTTACTCTCTCCCTTTTTCTCATCTTAACCAGCAGATAAATTGTAAGTAAAAGTAGTTATTTAAGCACCAAAAAGATCTGTGGGTGAAAATTGGATGCCATGACAGCTCATTATGATTTTAAAATTTATTTACATATTATATCATGGGTAGAAGTTTTATAATGATAGGAAGCTTATAGTTGAATATTGATAAGTTATCAAATTTTTGCTTAAAGCCTTATTGGTTATTTTAGATTACTTTTTCTTACAGAGTTTCTGATCTTTGCTTATTTTAATAGGAGTCGTGGCTTCGAAGGAATTACCTTGTTGATTTTAAACACCATTTTATGAGTCATTTTCCTTATGCCTTACAAGAAATAACCAAGCACAAAAGGAAAGAGACAAATAAAAGGTATTGTAAATCTTTTCTGCTGTATAGACTTGAAAAGTGTATATGCTGTTTAAGTGAAGTTATCAAAAAATAATTTACCTTAATCTGGAGCTCTGAAGTGTTTGTGTGAAGTAGAGTAAAACTAGCAGTAGGATGACTGATCTTGAGCAAGTCTCTTAAAATTGACTGAGGTGGCGTGGTTTATTTGGATGAGGTACAATGTAATTATCGAATCTTTAAGCTAAACAGTATTTTGAAAGTTAACTAGTTCTTTCATTTATACATGAGGAAAGTGATACTGGAAACTATTATCAATATCCTGAAGGAAGTGGGATAATTGGAGAAAAATAATTATTTTTTCTAAAAAAAAAAAAAACAGGTCATGGATTACAAAATGGAATTTAAAACGATTGTATTCCTGGAAATTATTTTAAATGTCTACCTGAAGTGAGAGCAAATAAATGTGAGAACAAGTTATTTAATGAAATGTGATAAGTCAGTACCAAGTAGAACATTAAAACTATAGTTGTACCAAATGAGCAAAAACATTTGCAAGTGATCTTAAAGTCTGTCAGAGGATTCTTAAATATACCAAAGGGAAGAACTAGCTGTAGAATCACTGAGACTCTTTGAGCAGGCTGCAAAGGATATACTCAGAAGTGGTAAGGGTATAGCAGACAGAGGAGTTTTTCATTCATTCACTCAAAATTTATTTTGGTTGCTTACTGTGAACAAAGTGTCCAGATAATCAGATGTCTTAAGATCCTTGCTCTCCTAAGTGATTTTATTCTTGGGAAACGGTGTATCAGGGTCCAGGCAGAAGACAGAAACTACGCCAGTGGTTTTAACAGAATTTAATATAAAGAATTGTTGACTAGGTATTGAAGAATTTGCAAAGACAAAAGTGAACAGTAGGGCATTATGGAGGTAGCAACTGCAAGGAAGTAGCTACTATCTCTAGGACTGGGAGAACAAAGAGAAGAAGGAAAGAAGCAGCAGCTTGGAGGAATGGCTGTGTGGAGTCAAAACTCAGACCTCTGAAAAGTGTTGCTGCTCATCTGGTGCTAAATCCGTACGGGGCTGGGACCCAGAACTTGGCAAAGGGGTTACAGCTGGCTGGTGCAGGTGTTTCTGAGGGGCATGATCTGGTTCTTTGTCAGAAAAACTGCAAACTGGAATCACCTGTGACTATCAGACTGAACTACAGCTGGACGGAAAAGTTGCTACTGTTGGTAATAAGAAGCAAAAACAGGACTAGAAAGCAAACAGGAGAGTGTCCCATCTTCCTATAGCTTTCCAGTCTCTAGCACCCCTTTATTGGCAGACCCGACAAAGAGCCAGCTGCAAAGGAAAAATGTGGCTCACAGATTCCCAGTCCCGGCATCACAGAGTAGAGTACGGAAGGGCAGGTTTGAAGCTGAAAGATGATAGCTGAGTATCTGAAAGGAGAAGTGAATTTATATATGTAGGACAAGGCAGTATATAAGTGTCATTCATCCACCCACTGCCATCGAGTCAATTCTGAGTCATAGCAACCCTATAGGACAGAGTAGAACTGCCCCGTCGGGTTTCTAAGGCTGTAAATCTTTATGGAAGCAGACTGCCGCATCTTTCTCCTGTGGAGTCACTGGTGGTTTCAAACCACTGACCTTTCGGTTAACAGCCAAACACTTTAGCCACTGTACCACCAGGTCTCTTAAGTATCGTTAAAAATCCCGTTGCCATTGAGTTGGTTCCAACTCATAGTGACCCCATAGGACAGAGTAGAACTGCCCCATAGGGTTTCCAAGGAGCAGCTGGTGGATTTGAACTGCTGACCTTTTGGTTAGCAGCCAAGCTCTTAACCACTGCACCATGAGGGCGCCTAAGTATCATTAGAGCTGTACAGCTAAGGGCTATAGGAATTCATGGGAAAGGAGAGATCACTTCTTGCTAGGATAAACAGGTACAGCTATATTGAAGAGTAGTATTTGAACAGGAATATAGTTTCAGCAGGCAGAAATGGCACAAAGGATGAAAGATACTAACTGGAGGAGACAGCATACAAGAAAGACACAGGATCAGGTAGTGGAGAATATGGAACATAGTTAAGTCAGACCTGGTTTCTGCTACTCACTGGTCTTAATGCTGGAAGCCACTTGTCTTTAGAGTTCTTTTGTTTTCAGCCGTGATCCTTTTGGCATTGAAGAATTTTGGTTGGGGCAAAACTGTATTTTAGAAAGATTAACTTAGGGAGTCTCTGAGGATGGAGTTGGAGGGGACAGAGTCAAACAGGGGAGACACTTTTTTAAGTAAAATGTTAGATTGTTTTCCCACCACACAATTTTCTTGATAGAACAAAAGTTTTAAATCTGGGGTCTATGGGCAAGTTTCAGAAAATTCTGAAACTCTTGAAATAATAATGTAGACTTGTATGTATCTGTATTTTTTTCTAGTAGAGGGTCCATATAATTCATCAAAATGAGATTAAATAATGGTTGGGATGTTTGGAATTTAGCAGACCATTAAATATAAGTAGATTATCCAAGAGTATGGATTATACCACCATCATTCAACAAGTTTATTGGATATTTAATATGTTCAACACACTGTACTAGGACTGTGTGCTAAGCATTCAGACATAAAGGAAATAGGGTATCAGTTCTGTATAGCCTGGTGAGAGACAGTTATTTCTGTGATTCTTTAATCAGTGTCTAGTGCTAGTCCTGGACTGCCTAACTTCAAACTGCATTTACATGAGAAAATAAACTTGTAAAGCCACTGTTACCTAAAATTTCTACCACATGTAGCTTAAAAATCACGTCCTAAAGACTTTAGTAGCATATTAATAGTAATTATTGGCAGTTCTTAGGAGTAGCATTATTAAAAACTAAACATTATCCTAGTCTGCTTGAGAATTGTTACGTTTGAATCTGGAAGTTTATAACTTTGTTGGCATGTTTTGGGAAGCTCCTTATTGGTTTGCAAGTTCTTGAATATCAAGGGTGATGTCTGATTAACTTAGTCTTTAAACCTCCTTGGTACAGTTATTATGAGCACAGATATCTGTTAAGCACCATGTTTTGGGTATAATAGTATTGAGGTAGGTATTTGTTGGATGAATGAACAAATGAAACCTGGAGATTGTGTAGACACCTAAAGGGACCTGGATACTAACGAGATTGGCGTGTAATGACAAGTAGTGTTACTGATATCTAAGATAATGGCTAATATGTATGTTAATCTCTTAAGTGGGACGTGGCTTTTTGGTGGCTAGGCTATGAGGTACATCTGTTGCTGCAGATTACAGGATTTGGTGTTGCTTTCTTACCCTGTAGTTTTCCCTAGCGAATCTTTTCAGCATTCTAGTGGAGTATTGTCTGCAAAGTCAGGGCTCATTGCAAAATGAAGACTGGACATTGGACCAGTTAATCTGTGTGGGAAAATATTCTAAGGATGCTGTTTAGTTTCTGGAGAAACATTTGTAATGCTGGCATTAATGATGGTCTCTTATAAGAAGAACCTGGATATTCATGTTTGCATCCTTGTATCGCATGATAGCCTAGATTTGTGAAAACATCTTGCTTACGAAGAATTATTCCACCATCACTCTTGACAAAATGCTGTCTCCAGTGTAGTCCTCCTTGGACTCAAACATTTTGAGGTAGTCAAAATGTTACTGAAATTGTATGTATTCATGAAGAAATGAAAATAAAAGATATTCAACTTCCTTTCTTTAGTATGCAGATCAGAATGGATTGCTTATTAGGTGAATCCTGCAATAATAATATACTTCAGTTATGGTCCTGGAAAAACTGAGCAGGGTAGCTCATAGCCTGTACCTATTACTACATTTTGAGCAGCCTGTCGGGTCTCTCTCTCTCTCTTTTTTTTTTCCTTAATTTAACCGATACAACAACTTTTTGAAACAGATTGTTAGATTGCAGAGTGAACTGAATATTTCTGAGAGAGACTTTAAAAAGTAACCGAAGTATTACTGCTTATGAGTGAAAAGTCTGGTTGTTTTTGGTGATGTAGCTCTTAGAAGGACTTTCTCTAGCCATGGGGAGCTTGGTGATGAAGGGAACGGGCCATTCAACCTTTCTCCTCATGGCTTTTGTTTTTATACTTGGCAGTAGAAGTTCAGTATCTTACTCTTCAAGAAATGAAGTGATACTTCTTTTCAAAGCTTTGCTGCTTACACCCTTGACTTCATCCTTTTTGTCCTGGGTCCTTGATTCACCCATCTATCAGTGTTTTCTTCTAGCTATAACCCTTTCTCTATTCTTTCAACCAGATTTCCAGAACTTGCCTACAGTAACCTTTCCTCTAGTTCATTCATCAACCTACTGAAATTTAGCTTTCTTCTCATCTACCGCACTTTTGAAATTGCCCACTGCCAATGATAGTATGGATCCCTGGTGTCACAGTGGTTAAAGCACGTGGCTGCTAACCAAAAGGTCGATGGTTTGAATCCACCAGCCACTCTGCGGGAGAAAGATGTGGCAGTCTGCTTCCGTAAAGATTTACAGCCTTGGAAGCCCCATGGGCGGTTTTCTTCTGTCCCGTAGGGTCACTGTGAGTTGGAATCAACTTGGCAGCAGTGGGGTAATATAATGATCAGATGCCATTAATTAAAAAAAAAAAGAAAGGATTCATTTCTTGATTATAGAATAGTACATGTTCACTTAGAGGATTTTAGAAAATAAAGAAATAGTGTTATTTACCTCCCCATCACTCAGTGACTATTAACATTTTAGGAAATACTGCGTAGTGTTAAAAATACAATATAATGTTCTACAGTATTTTAATACTTTTTGTCAGCATTTTACCCTGCCAGGAGACATTTTGCAATACTTAAACCTTTTGTGTAAAAATGTACTTTGTTCTTTTATGTTTCTAACTTCTTCTTTCTCTTGTGCTTATTTGTGGTCTAATATTTTCCAACTACCCCTTGATTTTTTTATATTTTTAAGGATTCCGTCATCCAGTTTTCCCACACAGCACATTTGTGGTTTGATACACTCTCAGGATTCTCACTAACCTCTTCTGTATTGCTGACTCCTAAATGTTTATATAGCTCAGACTTCTACCTCAGTGTCACACTTGTACACTGAGTTGTCTGTTGGCCATCTCTGCCTGGAATTAAAGCAGAGATGCTTTAAGCTCAGCATATCAAGAGTAGAATTTATTTTCTGAATCTTTCTTCATCATCTCCATTAGTAGTACTGCCGTCTCCACTCAGTTGCTAGTGCTAGAGCCCTTGACTCCTCCCATCCTCGCAATCCCCAAACTCACATATATATATAAATTTAAAGCAAAGATCAAATCCAGGTAACTTTTATTCTTCTTAAATGCCCTCCTTTCCTCTCTGAAGTCCATACTATGGCCCAGGTTTTTACACTTGTTATTTCTTGCCTTTGATTGCTACTGTTGCCATAAAACTGCTCCTTTGTTGCTAGTCTTACAGCTTATTCTTTTTTTTTTTTGCATCCACAGAATCATCCACTTGAAAGAAGCTTTTAGCCATGTTAATCCCTTGCTTACAGAATTAATTTTTGTATTCTTAGCCTCCAGCTCTTTATAAAAATCTGGTCCCCTTTTACATTTCCAGCTTCATCTGTCATTTGTAGTCCTACATTTGATGCTCAGGTAGCTCAGAACTTCTTTTAGTGCCCTCATATTTGTGGTTCCTCACTACTATAACCTTGTTCAAGCTTAATGTAGGATTGTTTTTCTATAAAATTGGTTAGTTTGAGATGTGTATGTTTTTAATCAACCTTACATTTTTCTGAAGATGAAAAAAATAGGCTCTACCCTTGTATATATGGTAGTATTTGAAATGAATATTTGTGTGCTACGTTTCAAATTGTTTGTTTTTATTAAAACATACTGAGCTTTTTGGAATGTCTTTCAAGCTTTGGACAAAATGTGTTTTGTCTGGGTAGCATAAATAAACAGATTTTAATATGTTAATCATAAAGTCAAGTCATTTCAGGCAAGTGTTTATCTGGATTAGTCTCATCATTTCAAGATGAGAAAATTGTAGCCAGGAAAAATTCGGGATTCTTTTAAGTTACTTGATTAGTTAGAAGCAGAGCCAGAATCTACTGTGACCTCCATCCAAATAAAAGTATCTGCTTTAAAAAAAAAATCTTCAGATGTGTTAGGGTTTTCAAGTCTTCTTATCTCCAGATTACTCCTAAGATCACCAGGCAAGGTTATAAGGATCTTTACCTTTTGTATGCATAGAAACTTGGGTAATGAACTGAGTAGTATACACTCTGTACATTCATGCCTCCTTAACAACTCTGATTTCCATAATGAATGGATTATTTACAGAACTGTGGCCTGAATCTTGCCTAACCACCTGTTTTAGCGGTTTATTAATTCTGAAAGAAAATTATTTTTTATTGATCCATCGATAGATTAAGTATTATAAATGAAACAGGCATGGTAGGTGTAACACTTCATAGATGTGTTTGTTTTGTTTGTTTTTAGCATCAAGCATTGCACGATTCTCTCAAATAACGTAGATCATCTCTTACTGAATTTAACACTGTCTGATATCATGGTCTCCCTGGCAAATGCCTCAACTTTGCAGAAGGATTCCAGTTGGATAGAAATGATAAGGAAATTTGTAACAGAGACTCTTGAAGATGGCTCTAAGCTAAATAGTAAGCAGCTGAACAGATTGCTTGGGGTGTCGTGGAGGTTAATGCAGATACAGCCAAACAGAGGTAGGTGATGTGGCTTTGCTCTTATTTAAGAGAGGAGCTGTATGCATGCTGTTTGGGATCTAGCTTTGAAATGCTGACTTGTAGATACTCCATGTAATCAAGTTAATCACCCTAAAGCCAAAAAATGTAGCTAGCCAAACCGTTTATAAAGGAATATTTGCTTGAATGCTGAAATCACTTATGGCTCAGAGCATTCCTTTTTCCTTGGATACGTCCACTCTGAAGCAAATTGATAAGATTTCTAGTAGAATGTAGAGCTAGAGTAAAGGAAGTGTAGGTATTACCAAGAGATCATTTTGTTGAGCCTAATGATAAAGAAATAACCTCTTCTCTATTTTGATTAGAAATTGAGGGCTTTTTCCTTTAGTCCATGTAGAGTGAATCTTGTCTGTCTTCGAGCTTGAAGTTGTCTTACATTAAGTTGGTTTTTAGTGCAACTAATTCCTTTCTAGCTAGATAGATTAATTTCATTCAAAAACAGCATTCCTGTTTGAGTCCCATCTAACTCACCTTTCTCATATCCTGGTTTTTGTTATCCATACTTAGGTTTGTGGTCTCTTAGGAAAATGTATACTGTCTTCTCTGTTAGTTTGACTTGTATTTGTCAGTCAGGCATTGCTGTGGAATTTTGATGGTAGTCATCAGTTTGTGGCTAAGATCTTCTTTGCCATGGGAACAAAGTAAAGAACTGTGTTTTTAGAGGAATTGGGGGACTATTGAAGAACACATTTTTTAATTCATATTTTCCCTCCGTTTTTAGAGGCTACGGAGACTCTAATCAAGGCAGTTTATACTTTGTATCAGCAGAGGGGCCTTCTCTTGCCAGTTCGGACTTTGTTACTGAAGTTTTTCAGTAAAATCTATCAAAAAGAAGAATTGAGAACTTACAGAGTCAGGTAAAATTCCATTTGTTATTTTCCCTTTCTTTTTCTTGTGCTGAGTTATTTTATAGTCTGTTTAAATATTTGAATAAGATGATTAAATCATTTGAGAGTTTAGCTTATTTTTCCTATTTGGATTTCAGAAAATATATGAAACTGTATAAAGAAGCATACAGAATAATGCTGCTGTACTCTATACACGTACCTGGACAGATGGAAGCCTTTTTTGGCATGTGTTTCCACTTGTTTCTATGTAGCTTAAGGACAATAGGAGCAACCTATAGTGACCTCAACACTTTCTTTTGCCCCCCCCATAAATATTACGGAGTTATATCACTAGCCCTTAGTGACATATGGGGGCATATGGAATAAGAATGAGGGCAGTAGAAGGTAAGGTTTCTGGCTCAGTTTGGTGCTGTCAGCTGATACAGACAATGTAGACCGTAGGACTAAGGAATTAAATTTTTTGATATGTTGAGTTTGAGGTTTATTTGGGATAGTTAGGAGATGTTTGGGTGGAAGATGCGTATTTGGGATACTTCAACATAACGTAAGTAGTTGTTTGAACATATTTGAGTCTTTGCTGACTATGAGCCAGATGCTTGTCATAATTTATCTCAATAATTTTCATAACACAACCTTGAGGTAGACACTGTTACTCCCATTTTAGAGAAGGAAACTGAAGTTTAGGTTAAATAAGTTGGCTAGTGTCATGCAGCTAGTAGGTAGCAGAACTGGGACTTAAGTTCAGATCTCTCTGACAACAAAACCAAAACCAAACCAAACCTATTGCTGTCGAGTCGATTCCAACTCATAGCGACCCTATAGGACAGAGTAGAACCGCCCCGTAGGGTTTCCAAGGAGCGGCTGGTGGATTTGAACGGCCGACATTTTGGTTAGCAGCCAGGCTCTTAACCGCTGAGCCACCAGGGCTCCCTGACAACAGAGGCCATGCTTAAATCACTAAACTGTTGGAAGATAGGCGACAGCTGTCACCAGAGTTAGGAGACATTAGAGCTTCAGCAGATGTGCTAAAGAACTAAAGTAACACAAGTTTGAAGCCATTAATGTAGGGGCAACCTCCACTGAATGCATCTATGTTAATACAGTATAATAATTAACATTCATTAGGATAGGTAGTTCACAAAGAGTTTCGTATGTACATATCCTTTAACGGAAAAATACAATTTAGATAGTACCCCCAAATTGGATAAACTTTTTAGTTTAGTGGGTGTTACAGTTTGAATTGTGTCTCCCCATAATATATATTGAAATCCTAATACCTGTACCTGTGGATAGGGATGTGATCTAATGTATTGCAGTTAACTCCCATAATGCAATCTAATATAATGTACTCAGTCAGCTGAAGTCATACCAGGATACGGTGGATAATAAACCTAATTGCTTTTGAATTATATAAAGAGCAGTATAGACACAGATACATGCTAACACACAGATATCAGGGAAGATAGGTACTAGCTGATGAGGGAGGCAGATGAATCTACAAACTCAGAACTCCAAGGAATGCTGGCTGTTAGAAGCTGAAGCAGACAAAGGACCACCCCATAGAGCTACGCCCTGAATTTGGGCTTCTAGCCTCCTGAACTGTGAGAAAGTAAATTTTTGTTCTTAAAACCAACACACTTGTGATATTTGTGTTACAGCAGCGTTAGGAAACTAAGACAGTGGTTAAAACCTTGGAAAATGCACGTAAATAAGCTCATGACTTTTGATGCTGCTGCTGAATAAATGATGCTGTTATCTTGTAGGCTCTCAAATGTTTAAATGAATAAATTTGGTGTTATTGGTAGATAATTACGTAGTGAATTTATGGTGTGTTTAAACTTTTGTTTGAGTTTGTTTCCTGTTTGTTCTTCTTTGGCCTTTCTTAGATATCGTAGTAAAGTGCTATCCCGATGGCTGGCTGGTTTACCATTGCAACTTGCTCATCTTGGTTCCCGAAATCCTGAGCTCTCAACACAGCTTATTGATATCATTCATACTGCTGCAGCACGAGCAAATAAAGAATTACTAAAAAGTTTACAAGCTAATGCTCTCCGAATCTATGGTAAAAGAGTTTGGCCGTTTAGTGGTGTAGATAGTCATTGGTCTACCCTGATTTAGGAGGGATGTTTTTAAGGGGAGCTCTGTAGGCTTGCCTTTCCTTTAGTCTGAATTAATCAAAGTTGGTTAAATTGCCAAAACAAAACATCGAACAATGCATTCATTTTCAGTTGGAAGCATTTATTAGAATAGCTTTAAAAGAGTAATGGTTGTAGATGCTTATTGGATGCTTAAATTGTCTTCTAAATGCTATTCACGGATTCAGAATTAATCAGGTACTTAAAAATTATTTTGAAGCTTAGATGGCAAGACAGTACCTTTATTGCTTATTTACTCACAATGAAGATCTTGTATGAATTCCATGTATTAATGGAATTAATTACAGGTAATCCCCAACTTACAGTGGGGTTCTGTTGTGATGATACCATTGTAAGTCAGTTCTGATGAAAGTTGAATACCTCCTTTTTTTTTAGTTTTCTTTATTATTGTCTTTATTATCAGTATCTTTATAAATCTGATCTTTGAATGTTTGTGAGTGAACATCTGAGAATGATAACATCAGCAAATTACGCCCTGCAACATTGTATGTAGTACATACTAATAACGATAAGATGTACCAAAAAAAAAAAACCAGTCATAAGATTTGTCATAACTCAGGTACATCATAAGTTGGGGATTACCAATATATGCTTTATTCATATACTGACTTAATATTTAAGGAAAAATATCAACAAAAGCATAAACCAAAAAAAAAAAAGAAAATCTGCTGTCGAGTCAGTTCTGACTCCTAGCAACTGTGTAAGACAGAGTAGAACTGCCACGTAGGTTTTCCAAGGCTGTAAATCTTTAAGAAGTAGATTGCCATATCTTTCTCCCACGGACAGGTTTGAACCACCGCCCTTTTTGGTTAGCAGCTGAGCACTTTAACCACTGCATCACCAGGGCTCCTTTTGGTTTAGAAGCACCTTATTTAATATATATTGTTGATTCATTAACATTGAACCCATGGCCAACATCACTATAACTCATGAATATCATATATGAATTCCATTTATTAATGGAATTAATTTTATGCTTATCTAACACCCACATTCCCATCACAGCCTTCTTGCCGTCAGGGACACTATACAGCATTTTAGCACTATGCTTGGGGGCCGTTTTAAACAGTGAAGTCACTAACAAAACACAAAAACAAGAAAAGTTTGGCAGTACATAAACCACAAAAATACTTGTTTACAGTACGAAAGCTAAAACAAGAAGGCAGGGTGTCGCCTTATTCAACCTCAGCTGGGAACATACATGTTGGGAAACTCAGCCCCTGTGCACGTGTCTGTAAATGACTGCGAAAGTACGTGTGTGCTGCGCGTATTGTCTTTGGGGTTACAAAGAATTTTTAGCAAGTAGGCAAATTTGCAAGTATGGAATCTGAGAATGAGGAGGATTGACTTCATTCCTTTTTATTGCTGAATAATATTCCACTGTATTGATACACTGTTTGCATTTATGCAGTCATCAGTTGATGTATATTTGAGTTGTTTCCGTTTGTGGGGATGTATTTTAAAATCTGCATTTTTAAAATATCGCTCAGACACACACACATAAGCGGTCTTTTGCTGTAAATTAGGTTGATATTATAATTGTTACTCTTTAGCAGACTTCAGTGATTTTTACTGTTGTGCTTTGTACCTAATCTATTTACTTCTTCACCCCCATCCAAAGTTCTCATTTATAACAAGACACTTAGAAAATACGTGATTATTACAGGGTCAATTACATTATTAACTGAATGATTATGTTCGGTGTTTTACTTTAAGAAAATAGTTTCTTAAGAAACATACACATATACTTTATGTTAAAACTTATTTTCTGTATATGTCTGCGTACCCTACTAGATCCACAAGAAGGCACTGTGGTGGTTCTTCCAGCAGAGTCTCAGCAACGTCTGGTTCAACTCGTCTATTTTCTACCCAGCTTGCCTGCTGATTTGCTTTCTCGTTTAAGTCGTTGCTGTATTATGGGAAGGCTTAGTTCAAGTTTGGCTGCCATGCTTATTGGGATACTGCACATGAGGTAGCATACTCAAGTGAGCTGTATTTTACATGTATATAATCTTTTCTCCCCACCCTTTTTACTGGTAATTTGTGAATACAGAAGACATTGAAAGTCACACACTGCCCCATCACCCATCGCTTTCGAGTCGATTCCAACTCACGGAGACCTATAGGACAGAGTAGAACTGCCCATAGGGTTTATAAGGCTGTAGTCCTTATGGAGGCAGACTGCTACATGTTTCTTCTGTGGAGCGGTTGGTGGGTTCAAACCGCAGACCTTTCAGTTAGCAGCTGAGTTCTTAATCACTGCACCACCAGGGCTCCTTCACACATTGCTACTACCTTTGTTTTTCTTATTGTGATGAAAATGTACACAACAAAATGTTTTCTAATTTACAATTTCTGTATAGTTCAGTGACATTGATTACATTCTTAATGTTCTGCAACCACTATCGCTATCTTTTTCCAAATTATTCTATCCCTTTAACATATGCTCAGTGCCCCCTTAGCAAAAACTTTCCCTTTCACCCCTGGTCACCACTAATCATCTTTGATTTCTGTATGTTTGCTTACTTCATTTAAGCGAGATCATACAGTATTTGTCTTTTTGCAACTTATTTTGTTCAGCATGTTTTCAAGGTTCATCTTGGGGCATGCATCAGGACTTCATTTCTCTTTATGGCTGAGTAATGTTCTTTTTTATGTATATGCCACATTTTCTTTATCCGTTCATCTGTTGATGGACATTTGGCTTGTTTCCACCTCTTGGCTGTTGTGAAAAGTGCTGCGGTGAGCATTGATGTACAGGTTTCTGCTTGTGTTCCTGCTTTCACTTCTGGGTATATACCTAGGAATGAGATTGCTGAGTCATATGGTAGTTCTATGTTTAACTTTTTGAGGAACTGCCATAATGTTTTCCACAGTGGCTGTACCATTTTATATTCCCACCAGCGATGGATGAGGGTTCAGTTTCTCCACAACCTCGCCAACACCTGTTGTTTTCCTTTTTTTTAAATCGTTGCCATTCTAATAGGGGTGAGATGGTTTCTTACTGTGGTTTTGATTTGCATCTTCATAACGGCAAATGATGTTGAGCATGTTTTCATGTGCTTGTTGACCGTTTGAATATACTCTTTGGTGAAATGTTTATTCAGGTCCTTTGCCCATTTTTTGATTGGGTTGCTTCTCTTTTTGTTCTTCATTTACTTTTAATGCAACAGTTACAATTGTTGTTACTGAGTGTACTACTGAGTTCTCGAGCATGAGACTATTTTATGTGTTTAGTGGTTTGTGTAGATAGGTTGGAATAAGGGTTGAAATTTAAATATCAAAAACATGTAGTAAGGGTTTACTGGCAATGAGAATAATGTACTTAAAACCTTCTGTGTCGTGGAATTGTGATACAGACCTTCCGTCCAGTTGCCTAGTGTTTGTCAGTCCTTTTAGTTTCAAGTTTCTGAAACGTTGTTCTAGCTTTCAGTGTATCACAGAGAGACTCTTGATGGTCATATCCTTAAGTATTTTAAACATTTATTAGTTTACCATTTTTTCTTCATTAGAAATAAAACCCCTCCTCTTTGTCTAGTTTAAGCATTTAATAATGCCAGGCCTTTTTATAAAATTAAATTATTTATTTTCCTACAACTTAAATGGTTTTGTATTTATTAGCTTCCAGTAGAGGGCAGTCTGTTTCTTTGATTTAACTCTAATCGGGGGTATGTTTTAACATTCAGTTAAAATCATATTTTGAACATTTCTTAAAGTTGATTGTCTTCAAAGCCGCATTTAATCTCTTTCAGTGTCAGTTATAATTCACTTAGGCTTACTTTTGGCAAGGGTATTTTCAAAGTCTTTGTTTTTTTCTTTTTGTGGTGATTTGTAGTAAATTTTGGAAAATATGTTTAATTTACAAATAATGATAATAGGCATTCATACTCATTAAATTGAAAGCAGATTGCCGTTGTAGTTAAAAGTTCACCAAGTTAAATTTTCTATTTTAGTATCTGTACAGAGTATATTGGTAGAATTCCCTCCTTATGGCTGTATTGCTCCATTCAAACGTACTTTTTAGAAAAGGATACAAAAATCAGAACTTTTCAACTTTTCCAGGCCAGTGACATTACTATTTTATTACTTTCTCTAGGTTCAGAACTTAATAATGTATGTGTCCTTCAGATGTATGTTGAGTTACTTCACATCTTGATTTCCTCTTCCAAATATCTCTTTCTCTTGTAGACTATGACTGTAAAACTAGCCAACTTTTTCTTTTTCTCCCATCTGTACTGTTATAATAGTCTTGCTTCTTACTCTCATTCATCTTGTGCACTAATGCCATATTAACTTTCCTGAGTTATTTCTTTAATCATTTCTGATTTTTGTTTCATTAATTAGCCTTTGAGATCACATTCAACTCTTTTTTAGTTTTGACACCCTGCTGTCTCTGTCAGAGGTGGTATCTAAGAGCAGACTATCACCATAGAATATCAGTCTGCTCCATGTGTGAAAAGCTCATCACCTAGAAACTGTTGGTGTTATATTCTCTTAGCTGTTAAATGTTGGACTTGAGTTACTGCTCCTATCTTTTTATCATCCATTTGTAGTTTCTTACAGTTTGACTTTTCTCCCTCAATACTATTTTACATGTGTTGTTCCGTAGTCCTATCCATATCTTCTCTCAGTCCATATGCTTTCTGCCCTTGTATTATTTGTAACCAGTCATACTGTTAGATAAAATCTCTGAGGAGGGAGAAATTGCATGGACTAAGGAGAAGTTTGGCTTGAGTTTTAAGTAGGGTGATTATATAACATGGTTTGTTAGGAGCAGTTCCGGTTTGCTCCTTTCGTCTCAGCAAAACTAATAATAGAATCTTCTTTCACTTTCAGAAGTGTTCTGGTTTGGACAATGTATATAGTCAATCATAGTCTTAAGGACATTGTGATATATTGCTTGTCATTTGTCCAGAATAGATTGTTAAAATGGATTTGCTACCCATTTTAGCCACTGGATGGCATACTTCCATCTTGTTTTCACTGAGCTCAAGAGGGTACTAGTTTGCTAATCACTGTTTTGCACTCCTTTTTTACTGAGCATCTGTGGCTTTTTATAACCTCTTAGCTTGTGATAGTCTCTCCATATTCCTTTGTTCATTGTATGGGAATGATACTCAGAAGGGTGTTTCCACTATTGTTAATCCCCAAATTTGAAGAATGTTGGTAAATAGAAATACAGTTATTATAATGGTAAAAAAATTTATTGAGTGCTTGTAGTTGAATTAGAAACTCCTAATTTTGCTGCACTGAAGACATTGGGGGGAAAAAGGCTCCAGGAAGTGACAGAATACCAATTGAGATGTTTCAACAAATGCATGCAGCGCTGGAAGTGCTTGCTCTTGTATGTCAAGAAATTTAGAAGACAGCTACCTGGCCAGCTGACTGGAAAAGATCCATATTTATGCCTATTCCAAAGAAAGGTGATCCAACAGAATGCGGAAATTATTGAACATTATCATTAATATCACACGCAAGTAAAATTTTGCTGAAGATCATTCAAAAACAGCTGCAGCAGTACCTCAACAGGGAACTGCCAGAAATTTAAGCCAGATTCAGAAGAGGACATGGAACGAGGGATATCATTGCTGATGTCGGATGCATCTTGGCTGAAAGCAGAGAATATCAGAAAGACATTTATCTGTGTTTTATTGACTATGCAAAGGCATTCGACTCTGTGGATCATAACAAATTATGGATAACATTGCAAAAAGTGGGAATTCCAGAACACTTAATTGTGCTCATGAGGAACCTGTACATAGACTAAGAGGCAATCGTTCGAACGGAACAAAGGGGTACCGTGTGGTTTAAAATCAGGAAAGGTGTGTGTCAGAGTTGTATCCTTTCAACATATTCAATCTGTAGGCTGAGCAAGTAATCCAAGAGGCTGGACTGTATGGAGAAGAACGGAGAACATCAGGATTGGAGGAAGACTCATTAACAACCTGCGTTATGCAAGTGACAGAACCTCGCTTACTGAAAGTGAAGAGGACTTGAAGCACGTATTGATGAAGATCAGAGACCACAGCTTTCATTAGGGATTACACCTCAACATAAAACAAAAATCCTCACAACTAGACCAATAAGCAACATCATGATAAATGGAGAAAAGATGGAAGTTGTCAAGTTTTTCATTTGGATTCACAATCAACGCCCATGGAAGTAAGAGTCAGGAAATCAAAAGATGCATTGCACTGGGCACATCTTTTGCAAAAGACCGTTTTAGAGTTTTGAAAAGCAAAGATGTCGTTTCAAGGACTAAGATGCACCTGACCCAAGCTGTGGTTTTTTTTTTTTAATTGTACTTCAGGTGAAGGTTTACAGAACAAATAGTTTCTCATTGAACAGTCAGTACACATATTGTTTTATGACATTGGTTAACAACCTCATGACATGTCAACACTCTCCCTTCTTGACCTTTTTTGGTGAAAATATACATAGCCAAAGATACACCATTTCAAAAATTTCTACATGCACAGTTCAGTGACATTGACTACGCTCTTCCAGTTGTGCTGCTATTCTCACTTTAATGAAGGTTTACAGAACAAAATAGTTTCTCATTAAACAGTTAGTGCACATATTGCCCTGTGACAATGGTTAACAACCCCACTACATGTCAACACTGTCCTTATTCAACCTTGGGTTCCCTATCACCGGCTTTCCTGTCCCTTCTGCCTTCTAGTCCTTGTCCCTGGATTGCTGTGTCTCATTAGTCCTGTTTTGTTTTACGGGGTTGTCCAATCCCCGGCTGAATGGTGAACCTCCGGAGTGACTTCATCACTGAGCTAAAAGGGTGTCCAGGGGCCATACTCTCGGGGTTTCTCCAGTCTCTGTCAGGCCAGTAACTCTGGTGTTTTTTTTTTTTTGTGTTAGAATTTTGTTCTACATCCTTCTCCAGCTCTGTCCAGAACCCTCTATTATGATCCCGGTCGGATTAGTCGGTTGTAGCCGAGCACCATCTAGCTGTACTGGACTTAGTCTGGTGGAGGCCTTGGTAGCTGTGGTCCATTAGTTCTTTGGGCTGATCTTGCCCTTGTATCTTGTTTTCTTCATTCTTCCTTGCTCCCGAAGCTATGAGACCAGTGGAGTATCTTAGATGGCTGCTCACAGGCTTCTAAGACCCCAGATGCTGCTCACCAAGGTAGAATGTAGGACATTGTCCTTATAAACTGTGTTATGCCAGTTGAGCTAGATGTTCCCTGAGACCATGGTCCCCACAGCCCTCCACCCAGCAATTCAATCCCTCAGGGAGTTGGGATGTGTCTATGGAGCTTCCATGACCTTTCCTTGTACAAGTTGTGCTGGGTTTCCCAGTATTGTGTACTGTCTCACCTGCCACGGTGTTTTCAGTCCCTCATATTGATGCAAAAGCTGGACAATGAGTAAGGAAGACCGAAGAATTGACGCCTTTGAATTAACGGTGTTAGCGAAGAGTATTGAATATACCAGAAGAACGAACAAATCTGTCTTGGAAGAGTACAGCCAGAATGCTCCTTAGAAGCAAGAATGGTGAAACTTTGTCTCACATACTTTGGACATGTTATCAGGAGGGATCAGTCCGTGGAGAAAGACATCATGCTTGGTAAAGTAGATGGTCAGTGATAAAGAGGAAGAACCTCAACGAGATGGACTGGGCAGTGTTCCATTCTGTTGTATGTAGAGTCAACTGTGAGTCAGAACTGACTTGATGGCACCTAACAACCACAGTTTTGTCTGACATTTTTTCATTTGTCTTAGCTTGTTGAATCTAATCATTCTCAGCCCTTTTGCTGTATCCATAGTAACATTTGCGCTCTTTATTCCTTGCCTTACCTTTAAGGGGAGTTTTTAAAGGAGTCACTGGAAACTGATCTCAGCAGAAACCAGATAATCCTCATTTAATGAGAAGCTGCTTTACATTTAGCTATTCCCTTGAATCTCTCACCAGTACTTCAGCTGCACTATTATGCAAATAGACCTAGTTACAACTTTGCTAAGTATAGGAACACAGTTCTTTCTTTGTCTTATAGTGGCTTTAAACAGAACTATTCTTTGCCTAAGTAAGATCCTTTTGCTTAATTAGATAGAAAGCTAGAGCTTATTTACACTTAACTCCTTTGCTGAGGTGTGACTGTAAAAATCAAATGGGTAAATACAAAGCAGCTGGCCCTACAATTGAAAAATAAATCTTCATCTTGGCTTCTTGGGTGTCTGACTTTCAAATGGGGAGGAGATTCTCTAAATTATACCATATATATGAATCAGTTAGTTTTTTAATTAAACTGTGTAAATACAAGATCTTGTAAAAATTAGAAGTATGTGTTAGAAGTTTTCATATTGTGGTACTTGAGTTCCTCTATATAAAAACAATATACTGTGGGTTTTGTTTTAAGCTATTAAATCAGACTTGTTTTCAATGTAGAAAAATGTTTATATACAGTTACTGTTCTTGAGTCTATCAGGTTGGTCACTTCTGGTAACAGTTCTCCCATTGTTTATTATAGATCATCATTTTCTGGATGGAAGTATCCAGTTAAAGACAGGTTAATGAGTGATGTGGACTATTTCAGCTTCTTATTTTCAACACTTACAGGTAACCATATTCATTTGCCAGATTATTTAAGAAAAGGGAAAGAAAAACCTAGGATGAAGACTCCTAAAATTTTCTGTCTTATCTGTTTGGTTCTCAGTTTTGAAGATGCTAAATAATCGGTCTATCTTGGAATGATTTTTATTATGATTAATACATAGAAATCTTTGAAGGAATATTTGTACCCTACTACAATGTTCAGACTCCTGAGGCAGGTTGATGCATGATTCATCTTTAAATCTCTCATAGTGCAAGTGCCAAAAACTTGAGGTTTATTTGAGTGTTTACACGATTATGTTCTCATTCCCTTCTTAGTCTTATTTCTTAACTTGTTTCTTCTCCTTATTGTTTACAGGGAGCTAGACATACTTGGTTCTCTTAATAATAGCCAGGGATAAACCATTACATACTTTTAAAAATTTGGTTAACAAAGTATCTATTTTAAACACGCTTAAAGTGTTCATCTTGATAAGAAGAAAATGAGATTTCCATTAGCCATATTCTATATTCTATTTGCCTTCAAAGCAAAATTAGTAAAATGAGTCGAGACATTTTATATTACATGTTTAAGTATTTTTACTGTATTTCAAATTATGGTACTTTTTTGACATTTCTGTTTTTTACTTGATGAGATTTTTTTTTTTTTTTAAATTTTTTGACTACTTAAAATTAGGAAAGCAGATTGTCAGAATCCAAAAGAGAACTTGACAGGTTCTGATATTGAGCTAAATCTAGCAAGATAAATTAAAAAAAAAAAAAAAAAAAAAAGTAAACTCCTATATGTTTATTTAAGTTTTAGGTGTACACATTTGAAATTGAGTTAGTACCTGTCGAAAGGTTTACAGGTTTTAGGGAGCACATTTGGAGTCAGTAGTGTGATATGTCTGTCAAACTAGATGATGCCACTTTAGACAGTGTTCATGAAAGTAGAGTGATCTAAACATCAAAGCACCTAGCTAGAGTCAGACCACATTAATAGTATTCTGATTGTTCTGAGATCTGCGATTCAGGAAGGACTTTGGCAAGTTGACTGTGTAGGTTATACCAAGAGTAATAGGGGTGGCAGTGGAGTCAGAACTTTTGTTGAGTAAGGTGTAGTTGTAGAACTACAGGTGTGTTGTCAAAAAATAGTTTTAAAATATTTGAAGGGCTTACAGAGTTTGGTATATGTATGAAGAAGTGTATTATTGCTCCTGCTTGTTCATTTGCTTTTTAAACCTACTGTTAACTGGAAAGATTATGCCTTCCACATTTTTTAAGTATAAGTGGTAAAACCCTTAGTACCTTTCTTGCTGTATTAGTGATTGGGTCAGAGCACATCCTTTATGTATATAATTATATGAGATTAACTGCCTCTATGGGTAGTAGTATATTTTTAGGAATACTGCATGAAAAGCAGAAACTCAGAAACAGCAAGACAGCTTAAAAAAGTTTCACTTGACACAAGTTTTATTTGGTGTTCATTGGTTTGTAGCTGAATCACTCCAGTCTTTGCCTCTGTCATCACATATCATCTTGTTTTTAAAAAATTATAAAGAATGTAAAAAAAAAAAAAATTTTTTAAAACTGGTTTTCCATGTGCTTGCGTTAGGGTTTTCAAAAGAAGAGCTGACTTGGCTTCAGAGCCTTCGAGGAGTTCCTCATGTCATCCAGACACAGCTTTCCCCTGTGCTTCTCTACCTTACGGATTTGGATCAATTTTTACATCATTGGGATGTAACAGAGGTAACAGCACATTTAAAAAGTGACAGATAATTATTAAAATTCAGTTCATCAACCATCAGATAGTTATGATATGTTAAGATTGCCTTGTAAGAGATGTTTTGAGAGAGAGAGAGAGAGAACAATGTAAGACATGATTCCTGTTCTAAAAGAGGTTATAATGTTAGGAGATGTGCCGTGTGTTTATGCAAATAACATGTGCCTTCTCCATTTTTTGGCCAACCATGACCTCCCTCCTGCCCTACCTCCCATGAGATATTTTCATAAGCGCCACTATGCCAGGTTTTTTTTTTTTACACATTGCTGTAAAAAATTAGTATAGTACACTTGCAAAAATACCTTGTGGGAGGAGGAGCAGGTGGCAAACAACGTAGAAGGTGCTCATTATTTGTGTAAAAATACGATATGTTTCTAAAAGAGTAGTTTTTGTAAATAAGCTATGCCAGTAGAATAAAAGAAATCAGTAATTTAAATGATAGAGTTTTTTTTAAAATCTAGCATAGGACAGCTCCATCTATTTAAAAGAGGAGGGCTTTATGGAAAAGAAAGAATTTTTTAGGTCTTGAAGAGTGTGTAAGACTGAAAACAGGAGTTAATTGATTATATTAGTTTGCTAGGGCTACAGTAACAAAGTACCACAAACAAGGTGACTTAAAACAAATTTCGCTGCCAGTTCTGGAGGCTAGAAGTCCAAAATCAAGGTGTTGGCAAAGTTGGTTCCTTATGGAGGCTCTGAAGGAGAATCTCTTCTGCCTCTCTCCTAGCTTCTGATGGTAGCTAGCAGTCCTTGGTGTTCATTGGTTTGTAGCTCAATAACTCCAGTCTTTGCCTCTGTCATCACATGGCTTTCTTCCGTATGTGTCTCTGTCTCTGCTTATAAGGACTTTAGTCATTGGATTTAGGGCCCACCCTAATCCAATATTAACTTAATTACACCTGCAAAGACCCTATTTCCAAATAGGTCACATTCACAGTACCAGGGTGGACATGAGTTCTAGAAGGGATTCAACACGCTATTCAACTATTAACACTTGGTTTCCTTGAATGTGCCTTTTTTGAACAGGAAAGATTATTCAACAGTTATTTTGGTTTTAAGAATGAATACATAGCTTATTAAAGTTAAATTTGAAACTGTAATTCTTCTTAAAGTTCTTAAGTTAAGCTTAGAAATCTTATTTTTTTAAATATTATTAATTTAAACAATCATTTTGAAAGGTGCCTTTGATTTATATTTTATTCCTTTTATAAACTTAATAAAACTTTAAACTTTTAAAACTACCTTTAAATTATTATGTTCAGTATTTTCTAAGTATTTTGATTTTCTGATAAACCTTCCCATATATTTAAGCAATTCTTAGATATCTAGTAAGTTAAACTTAAAAATATAATAAATCTTAATATCTTAAAGTTTAAGTTCATTACTGACATGTATTAAATTGCATTTAAAAGGCAGATCTTTTACCCTAAGAAGCCAGCTTGTCTTAAATGTTACAGATACTAAAACTAGCTATGGAAAAAATGACAGACATTAATACTGAATGATTTGGTTTTTGCAACGTGGTATAAAATGGACAAAAAGGAAGGAAAAGAAAGCCCAGATAGAGACTCACATTTATATAGTATACTAGTTTTTGACAAGGTGTCAGGGTAATTGGCATAGGATGGCTTTTTGAACAAATGAGGTTGAACAACTGGATATCCATATACAAAAAAATGAACTTCGGTTCTTACCTCATAATATACACAAAATGGACTTGAAACTATAACTTTTAAAAGAAAACACAGGAGAAAGTATTTGTAAATTTGGGGTAGGCAAAGATTTCCTAGACAGGGACATGAAAGGCACAAACCACCGAAGAAATTTGATTAACTGGAATTAAATTTCAAAATTTCTGTTCTTCAAAAGACACTGTTTAGACAAAGGACAAGCACCAGCCTGGGAAAAAGCATTTACAGTTCATATATCTGACAAAGATTTGTATTAAGAGTATGTAGAGAACTCTTGAAGGCAAACAATCCAATTAAAAATTGGGCAAAAGATTTGAACAAACATAAAAGAAAATAGATGAAAAGTCTCACTAAGTATGTGAAAAGATTCTTAACATTGGTCATCAGGGAGATGCAAATTACAACCACTATAAAATATCACTGTGCACCCATTAGAATAGCTGAAATTCAGGACTGACTATACCATGTGTTAACAAGGATATGGAGCAACTGGAACTCTCATACAGTGCTGGTGGAATGTAAAATAATACATTATCATACAACCGAGCAATCTCACTTCTTGGTATTTACTCAAGAAATGAAAGCATTTGTCTACACAGACTTGTAGGTGAATATTTGTAGCAACTTTGTTCATAACAACCAAAACTGACCGAAGTGTCATCATTAGGAGAGTATATAAACAAATTGAAGAAGAATGGCATTGCATTCATCATCAAAAAGAACATTTCAGGATCTATCCTGAAGTACAAAGCTGTCAGTGATAGGATAGTATCCATACGCCTACAAGGAAGACCAGTTAATACGACTTTTACTCAGATTTACGCACCAACCACTAAGGCCAAAGATGAAGAAATTGAAGATTTTTACCAACCCTTTGCAGTCTGAAATTGATCAAACGTGCAGTCAGGATGCATTGATAATTACTGGTGATTGGAACGCAAAAGTTGGAGACAAAGAAGAAGGATTGGTAGTTGGAAGATATGGCCTTGGTGATAGAAACAATGCCAGAGATCACAAGATAGAATTTTGCAGGACCAGTGACTTCTTCATTGCAAATACCTTTTTTCACCAACATAAATGGCGACTATACATGTGGACCTCGCCAGATGGAATACACAGGAATCAAATTGTCTACATCTGTGGAAAGAGACTATGGAAAAGCTCAATATCATCAGTCAGAACAAGGTCAGGGGCTGACTGTGGAGCAGACCATCAATTGCTCATAATGCAAGTTCAAGTTGAAACTGAAGAAGATTAGAACAAGTCCACAAGCGCCAAAGTATGACCTTGAGCATATCCCACCTGAATTTAAAGACCATCTCAAGAATAGGTTTGACGTGTTGAACACTAATGACTGAAGACCAGACGAATTGTGGAATAACACCAAGGACATCATACATGAAGAAAGTAAGAAGTCGTTAGGAAAGAAAAAAAGACCAAAGCGGATGTCAGAAGAGACTCTGAATCTTTCTTTTGAATGTAGAGTAGCTAAAGTGAAAGGAAGAAATGATGAAGTCAAATAGCTGAACAGAAGATTTCAAAGGGTGGCTGGAGAAGACAAAGTAAAGTATTATAATGACATGTGCAAAGACCTGGAGATAGAAAACCAAAAGGGAAGAACACCCTTGGCATTTCTCAAGCTGAAAGAACTGAAGAAAAAATTCAGGCCTCAAGTTGCAATATTGAAAGATTCTATGGGGAAAATATTAAACGACGCAGGAAGCATCAAAAGAAGGTGGAAGGAACACACAGAGTCACTATGCCAAAGAGAATTGGTTGACGTTCAACCATTTCAGGAGGTAGCATATGATCAGGAACTGATGGTACTGAAGGAAGAAGTCCAAGCTGCACTGAAGGCATTGGCAAAAAACAAGGCTTCAGGAATTGATGGAATACCAACTGAGATGTTTCAACAAACGAATGCAGCACTGGAAGTGCTCACTCATCTTTGCGAAGAAATTTGGAAGACGGCCACCTGGCCAGTGAACTGGAAGAGATCCATATTTATGCCTGTTCTCAATAAAGGTGATCCAACCGAATGCAGGAATTATTGAACAGTATCGTTAATGTCACATGCGAGTAAAATTTTGCTGAGGATCATTCAGAAGCAACTATAGCAGTATATCAACAGGGAACTGCCAGAAATTCAAGCCGGATTCACAAGAGGACATGGAACTAGGGCTACCATTGTTGATGTCAGATGGATCCTGGCCGAAAGAGAATGCCAGAAAGATGTTTACCTCGGTTTGAATTGACTATGCAAAGGCAGTTGACTGTGTGGATCATATAATAAGTTATCGATAACATTGCGAAGAATGGGAATTCCAGAACACTTAATTCCACTCACGAGGAACCTGTTACATAGATCAAGAGGCAGTTATTCGAACAGAACAAGGGGATACCGCATGGTTTAAAGTCAGGAAAGGTTTATGTGTCAAGATTGTATCCTTTCACCATACCTATTCAGTCTGTATGCTGAGCAAATAATCTGAGAAGCTGGACTGTATGAAGAACGGAACATCAGGATTGGAGGAAGACTGGTTAACAACCTCTTATGCAGATGACAGAATCTTGCTTGCTGAAAGTGAAGAGGACTTGAAACACTTACTGATGAAGATCAGAGACCATAGCCTTCAGTATAGATTACACCTCAACATAAATCAGAAATCCTCACAATTGGACCAATAAGCAATATCATGATAAACGGAGAAAAGATTGAAGTTGTCAAGGATTTCATTTTGCTTTGATCCACAGTCAACACCCATAGAAGCAGTAGTCAGGAAATCAAAAGACACATTGCGTTAGGCAAATGTGCTAAAAAGAGTTCTTTAAAGTGTTGAAAAGCAAAGATGTCACCTTGAAGACTAAGGTGCACCTGACCCAAGCCATGGTGTTTTCAATCACCTCACATGCATGCAAAAGCTGAACAATGAATAAGGAAGACCAAAGAAGAATTGATGCCTTTGAATTGTGTTGGCAAAGAATATTGAGTATACCATAGACTGCCGAAAGAACGAACAAATCTGTCTTGGAAGAAATAACAACCAGAGTGTTTCTTAGAAGCAAGGACGGCGAGACTATGTCTCACATATTTTGGACGTGTTACCAGGAGGGATCAGTCCCTGGAGAGGGACATCATCCTTGGTAAAATAGAGGGCCAGCGAAAAAGAGGAAGACCCTCAACAAGATGGATTGATACAGTGACTGCAACAATGGGCTCAAGCATAATGAGCGTGAGGATGGCGCAGGACCGGGCAGTGTTTCATTCTGTTGTA